ATTTAGCAGTGTCTTACCAAGTAAAATCTATATTCCAGCCTATCTAAAGATGAGATTTACATTATCTCTTTGTTTTATTAAGTCTTAATTCTAATATGAAAGATATTCAAACCCTTAACCTGCTAAAACAGGAAGTGATTGCCCTTTTTACGCCAGTCTAGAGCCTGGGCTGCCTGCACATCTGTGCAACCTTGCCAGGTCCTATACAGTTTGCAGCTGGATGGATTATTCCAATTTCTAAGCAGGGCAAATCCATTATGAAAATTCCGCGTAAAGCTGCTAATATGTTATTATTTTAAAGTGTTATTTTTTTCATTGTTATCTTATTGGCTTTACTTTCTACCTCAGCTTAAGTTTGTACATGTATACTTATTTAATAATGAGATTATTAGCGTGAGAGTTAACCAAAGAGAATACGAGATATTGTCAGATTTTAACTGCTTTTGTTGTCTGTAATATGTTAATATAGTCTTGAAGACAAATGTTCAATAAAACTGATGGAACTTAAGTGGCTTGTTGCTCTTTTTTATTTGAAACTCTTCCTTAAAATTCAAGAAAAATTTAATTTTGTATCATCAACACTGCAAAAAGGAGTTTTTCCACAGGGTGAGCCTTTGGTGACTGTTACATCATGACACTAAGATGCTTACAAACAAGTTAGTACTTTTCCTACTGTATGCTTTAAGTTAACAAATTTTTTATTAAGAGCAAGATAAAAGTTTCAATAAACGGGACCAAATGGTATTACAGAGTGTAAGGAGCAAGTATAAATGCTACACAGAAACTGTTCAGTATATACGAGAGAAAATAAGAAAGATAAATACAGATTTTTCTAAGCCTTTCAAGAGCTATGTACAATCCTATCTGAATACATGCGATGTTATAATCCAATAGTTCTATCACATTTAATATTTAGCTGCCATCAAATTTCCTAAAGTATTACATTACTAATGGGAGCAATGGCACTAAAATATTTTTATATCATTAAAAACAACAACAGGACTTTGATAAACTTCTTGTCCAAACATCTAACTTTCTATAGTTATATTTAAATATTTTCTGTAACAAAATCTGTTCCTTTCCATTTAACAGTTACATAATACTAGTATTACTACTAAACAGTTTTATTGCAAATATTATCTCCCAACCCTTTCCACACCACATCTCTCCTAATAGAGCTGTTAAAACATTTGGTTAACTTTTATATTATTTTGTCAAATAAAATTAAAAAACATTTAATTTTCCAAATTCATTCTGCAAATTCATTGACAAAAGCTTCTTTTTTATCTTCACTACGGGGAAGTTCTAAATTTTCTAATTTCTATTTCTATGTGTAACATTTAACTGTACAAAATGTGTTTCAGTCTTCAGGGGGGACAACTATGTATGGCTGATGTGGTACACATTTCAACTTCTCATGGCACATTTGCACCCATTTAGGTTTCACAAACACAAGATTAGGGTTCTCTGATAATGCCTGAAAAAGAGCGAAAAAGGAATAAGAATATTCATCAATTCAAATCAAAATGTTTGCTTTTAGAGTGTTCACAGTCCTTATAACTTGCCAGTGTTACCAGACATTTACATGGGTACAATTCTTCGGGCATTTGCCTTAAGTTCAGAGGTTTTTCTTACTCTTGAAAGCTCTCTTTTCCTTTATAAAATCAATTGAAATAATACTAAATTCAGGGTTTTCAGGTTTTCTATTATTTTAACTTATACCCATGCATTTATTACTCTATTCAATAAACTTACAGCTAACAGTTTTGATTTTCAAGCAGGATAAATCCATCATACAGAATCAGTTATTGCTTAAACAAGGTGTTGTTACTGTTAGTACTCAAAGGTTGTATTTATAGTTACTGACTTCACAATGTTTTACATGAACTTATATATACACTTTCGTGGTCATCATGCTAAAATCTTCCTCCATGTGTGAAGAGATGACTAAATTATACAGTTACAATTTGTCAAGGAAAACTTTCTGACATTTTAAGTAGCACTGCTCTTGAATAATAAAAGAATATTTATGAACAAAAAATTCTCTGATAGGCAATTAATTATAACAAAACATGACTTCTACCCACATATCACAGACTCTTAAAAATAAAGGTAATAAAAGTTTGGGTTGTAACAATTGCATTAAAGACAACATGTCTATACCACATCACTTTGATTGTGTACATGGTGTAGGAATGTGAAAAAAGTTGCCTATTACTTGCATAGAGAAATTTGGTATAGTGATCTATGCCATATAATTGTGATGAAAACTTAAGAATAACTTGAATCAGTCTTAAGCAGGCTTTCTGGAACTAACCAGAAATGGACAGTGTTATATGAGGAAAATTGTTGTAAATGTTGAGTAGACCTTGAACCCATGACCCTTTGGTTAAAAATAAGACCTCCATAACACAAGGCCACCATTCAGCTTCATTCCATTTATAATAATAGATATATAAACAATAGTATCATATCAATAAAAAAGCAACCAAAAAAAATAGTAACTTACATCATCAAAATTTTTATCCCATTTGGCGGATGTGACCACATACTTCACCTTGTCATTCATATATTCCTCCAACTCACTGAAATGTTAATCAAAAGTTAATGTTAAATACTTAATATTAACATGAATATTAGTAGTAATTTCAGAGAACAAAAAAAGTTGTTATTCTTTTCATTTGTTATCAGAAACTACATTTTTAAAAGAAAATTCCCTAACTCAAAACTTGAATTTGTAAGAACATTTACAGCCTTAGATGGTGAATCTTGGGAATAAAATACCAACACATACCCTAGACATTTCTAAATTTTGCTATGTTTTGCTTAAAGTTAGGAGAAAATTGGGCAAAGATAGCAATGCATATTATTATATATTATTTTCAGTATGCACACTCAACTAAGACAAATATTTCATTTTAAGTTTTATATTCAACATCCTCCCCCAAAATAAAGCCGAATGATTGCTAGAAAATAGGTCAAATGAAGGTCAAATGGAACCAGTGAATCTTTTCTTTCTTTCTTTGGTTAAACATTAACACAATATAGGACATATGGCACAGAAACAGGAAAGATGATTTTGGCTAACCTCAGATGTTACAAACTTAAAGCAACACCAGGGGTCAAACCCACTGCACCTACTGGAGCTAAGATATGCATAGATTCAAGTAATTCAAACCCATTTAGTCACCTCTTACATTCATGCAGGGATAAACGGTGGCCACAAAAGAGAAACCCGAGTATGTACAGTATAAAGTATATTACCCAGCGTAAGCTGTGATAAACCTGGTCATCAGACGTCTCTGTGAAGCTTCCATCTCACCATATAAAAAGAAATGTTTATCTGCAAAAAAGTCGGGAAGTTCCGGTAAACCAGAATCACCATCGGAATCTGCATCATTGTTTTCACTCGGTCCTGAAATAATAATAAAAAAATATGAAGGATGGGAAACAAGGAAACACGTTTTGTAGATATGACAACACTGTCTTACTTGTCTATTGATCAGCTTATGATCAGGACAAGGAAAAGTTGTTTTGTTTGGTCTTAAAGTCATATCAACACTTTTAAAGATCATATAGCAATTTCCAGGCATTACTGGTTGAGAAAGACCTAAGGTGTCCCTCTGTGCATTATTTCAGCTTCTTCTGAGTTGAACCACCAACCTTCTTAAGATAATTTGAGAGCTTCAAATCCAAAGTCCATGATGGAATTCCATCCCACATTTGTAAGGGACAAGTGATTTGAAGCAGGCAATTTTAACACTGTTGATCCCTCGAGACAGGGGCAGGGCATTAAATATAACATGGTATTTGTAATAAATACCACATTAGCTTTTAGGCACAAGATATACACATCTGTATAAACACTTGTGATATGTATAGACAGTTACAAATAAGATGATATTTTCTATTTTTGGAATAGGACATTTCTTCTGCTTAGTGCAGTAATACAATAACTTCTTCTAAATTCAATAGGAGTTAGTCAGTTATTGCACTAAGGTGACATTTGATGATATTGTCTTACCTGGTTTCTCATCTTCATCTGTATCTACATCATATGGATCTGCTGGTAATGCCTTCTTTGGACTTTCTTTCTTGGGACTCTTCCCTGGACTTGTCTTCTTTTTCTTACCTTTTCCCTCTTTTATCCTTAAAATTTCGATTAGAATGGTAAATTATATATTAATTAGTAATTATTGAATCTAAAAGAAAAGGCAAATTATCAGAACTGACAATAATCTGCAATAGCTCCCTGACATCAGTTTTGTGCATATATGTTTTAAATAGACTTTTATTAGAATTGACATAATTTATGTCGCACAGATTCTTGCTTCAAACTACATGTATATGGAAAAATCCATAAATTTGTTGAAATATGTAACTGCAAAAACACAAATAAACACAATGTCTGATGAAGTTATCAATACAAGAGGGCCATGATGGCCCTGACTCGCTAACCAGAAACAACTGCTTTCCAGTGTTGGAATGTCAATATATTCTCATATTAAACTTGAGCATAGAATTTGTTTAAACAATATTTTGAAGAAATGCCATGACCTGGGGCATTTAAGCTTTAGCTTAAGGTATTAGGACCCTAATGGGCACTATAAGGAACTAAAAAATTGACATCATAGGTCAGATGTATACCTTAAAGTACATCTGTATGCAAAATTTAAACAAAGTTTACCGTACGGAAATCAAGTTATGGCCACTTTTCTGAACTCAAGCTAGGATGTTATGAGGGCCCTTTTTTAGAAATGAGGAACCTTTAAATAATCTGCTATTACTTTCTAATGAAAAATGTTTTCCCATTAATTTTTGGTTAGAAACAAATAGTACCATTCAGCTAACAATCCACATAAGCAAAATTATGGTTTCTACTTAAAATTTATGAAATCTGTATAAAAATGTTACTCTACCCCACCCATTTTTACCACGTGTCTGACCATTTTTCTACTTAGGGAGCCTAATTTAAAAAATTCTTAAAATTTACCCAAATGAGTGCCTGTTTTCAAAGTTTCCCTAAATTTTTAAAAAAGTATATTGGTTGATCTTGTAAAATATGAAATACTTTTACCGTCTAGTTTTGATTATATTACACTTTAAAAATATCAGGTACCATATTTATTACTAGATTTAGCATAATTTAGCCAATAAATACCTATATAAATTAAAAAATCAAAATTAAACACTTTTTTCTCTCCAAATGGGACATGAGAGATACATAAATAATGTTAAAAGAAAAAAAGAAAGAAAAAAAAAAGTTGACCCTTCTGGGGATTGAACCCATGGCCCTCATTTTCAATGTAGTTAACGGTAGTTCTAGCCTATTTGAATACTCTTCAACGCGGAGGTAATGCATTAGGGTGCTAATACCTTAAACAGGGCTTATCAAATTGATATGAGCAAACTTGATAAAAGACTACCTAAGAATGCTACAAAGTTTGGTGATCATCTATCAGTTATTTCAGTAGGAAATGATGTTCAAAGGTTTTTTTTTATTTTTAGCTTTAGTGGCCCCTAAAAGGTGCTAATCAAATTAATATAAGCAAACTTGATAAAAGAGTACCCAAGAATGCTACAGACAAAGTTTGGTGATCATCCATCAATTGGTTCTGAAGTAGGAGATGTTTAAAGGTTTTTCTATTTTTAGCTTTAGCGGCCCCTAAAAGGGGCCAATCAAATTAATGTGAGCAAACTTGATAAAAGATTACCCAAGAATGCTACAGACAAAGTTTGGTGATCATCCATCAATTAGTTCTCTAGAAATAGACATTTTACGGTATTTCTATTTTTAGCTTTAGTGGCCCCTAAAAGGGGCCAATCAAATTAATATGAGCAAACTTGATAAAACACTACCCGAGAATGCTGTCGACAAAATTTGGTGATCATCCATCCATTAGTTCTGTAGGAGAAGATGTTTAAAGGTTTTTCTATTTTTAGCCCTAGAGACCCCTTAAAGGGGCCAATCAAAATAATATTAGCAAACTTGATAAAAGACTACCCAACAATGCTACAGACAAAGTTTGGTGATCATCCATCAATTAGTTCTCTAGAAATAGACATTTAACGGTATTTCTATTTTTAGCTTTAGTGGCCCCTAAAAGGGGCCAATCAAATTAATATGAGCAAACTTGATAAAACACTACCCAAGAATGCTACAGACAAAGTTTGGTGATCATCCATCAATTAGTTCTGTAGGAGAAGATGTTTAAAGGTTTTTCTATTTTTAGCCCTAGAGACCCCTAAAAGGGGCCAATCAAATTAATATGAGCAAACTTGATAAAGGACTACCTAAGAATGCTACAGACAAATTTTGGTGATCATCCATCCATTAGTTCTGTAGACAAGAGGGTCATGATGGCCCTGAAGTCGCTCACCTGTATATAGGCCCCTGAAGCCGGGCCAGTTTAAACCCCAGGGCTTTTATTTGAACAAACTTAGTAGACACCCATTAGAAGATGTTTCATGCTAAACATCTAAGGTCTAGCTGGTCAAGTTTTTTCTTTACACATATAGTTAAAAACAATGACACACCTGGGGCAGGGCCAGTTTTGACCAAAGGGCTTTTATTTAAACAATCTTTGTAGACACTTACTAGAAAATGTTTCATGCTTAATATCTAAACTCTAGCTATATGATTTTTTTCAAAGAAGATTTTTAAGTTTTTGCTATACACATATAAGGAAAATCAATGTCCCCCGGGGCGGGGCCAATTTTGACCCCAGGGCTTTTATTTGAACAAACTTTGTAGCCACTCACTAGAATATGCTTCGTGCTTAATATCTAAACTCTAGCTATTTGAGTTTTTTCAAAGAAGATTTTTTAAGTTTTTGTTATACACATATAAGGAAAATGAATGACCCCCGGGGCGGGGCCAATTTTGACCTCAGGGCTTTTATTACAACAAACTTGGTAGACACTCACAAGAAGATGTTTCTGCTTAATATCTGAACTCTAGCTATTTGGTTTTTTTCAAAGAAGATTTTTTAAGTTTTTGCTATACACATATAAGGAAAATCAATGACCCCCGGGGCAGGGCCAATTTTGACCCCAGGGCTCTTATTTGAACAAACTTGGTAGACATCCATTAGAACATGTTTCACGCTAAATATCTTAGCTCTAGCTCTTTGGGTTCTTTAAAAGAAGATTTTTTAAGTTTTTACTATATGCATATAGGGAAAATCAATGACCCCCTGGGGCGGGGCCAATTTTCACCCCAGGGCTTTTATTTGAACAAACTATGTAGACACCCATTAGAGGATGTTTCATGCTAAATATCTTAGCTCTAGGTCTTTGGGTTTTTTAGAAGAAGATATTTAAAGTTTTTTCTTTTGGTTGCCATGGCAACCAGAGTTCTGCATGGAATTAAATTCTTTGAACAATTTTCAAAGGTTACCACCAAAGGAACATTTCTGTGAAGTTTGGATGAAATTGGCTTAGTGGTTTATGATGAGATGTCATTTAAAGTAAAAGTTTACGGACGGACGACAGACGTACGACGGACGGACGAAAAGCGATCACAAAAGCTTACCCTGTCACTTTGTGACAGGTGAGCTAAAAAAGATGTTTAAAGGTTTTTTCTATTTTTAGTCCAAAAGACCCCTAAAAGGGGCCAATCAAATTAATATGAGCAAACTTGATAAAAGACTACCCAAGAATGCTACAGACAAAGTTTGGTGATCATCCATCAATTAGTTCTGCAGAAGAAGATGTTTAAAGGTTTTGCTATTTTTAGCTCTGCTGACCCCTAAAAGGGGCCAATTGGAATGACATGAGCAAATTCAGGTGTGACTGTCACAAGGATGCTACAGACCAAATTTGTAGTAAATCTGCCCAGTAGTTTCAGAGAAGAAGACGATTATTGACGCATGACGACGGACGCCGGAAAATCCCCCTTTGATACTAATAGCTCACCCTGAGCCTTCGGCTCTGGTGAGCTAACAAAGAAAAAGAATTTAAGATTGGGAAATGTATACATGTAGTCTGATTTTAACATCAGAAATGCATAATAATCTGGAAATTAAGCATCATCTGCAAGAAAGACCACTATATCTTAGTGTAGCTATCTGCAGGTGTCCTTTATTGACAGGTTAGACTGTATAATGATTTACCTTCTTATTTCATCTTCAGTGTCTCCCCCTGAGTCAGTATTTCCCCCATACATATCATCATCACTATCTGCAACATCTACCACTGGTACCTTTTCTATAATTTACAACCACTTTAGGTTTTTAACAGGCTTAAGGCTAATCTCAGTCTTTTGAAATTTACAGAAAACAAAATATTCAACAACAATAGTTTTTTGTAAAGCATAAACATAAACTTTTACTGTAATACTTAAGGCGAGTGTCTAAAACTGTGTGCATAATCAGCTCTTGCTGCAGTATTTCTGATAACTGCTTAAAACTTGAATAGAATCAAATAATGTCATGCTATGTTGTGGCAAAAAAATATTATTCAGGGTTTTCATTTTTATCTGAGGTTGCCTCGGATGTGCTTACAAAAACAACCGATCTGGCCAAGGGTCAATGGGGATATTTTAATATACAGGCTTAAAATACAACATATTTTAACAGCATTTCAAGTAATTATATAGATCGTCAATCTGTTAATGATGAAAACCCTTATCATGCTCAAAAGGAAAGGAACCATCATGCCATGAAACAATAAGAAGTCAATGACCTTAAAGAATACTCATTCTCTTAATTGTTCATACATGATCATATAACTATAGAAATAATTTATTCTCTCTCTCTACCTTGTCAACTGCCAACAATTTATAATGCACTGTGCAACATTTAAAATAAGAGATACACAACAAGACAAGTAAGTAAGAAGAATTCTTTTACCTTCTTTCTTTGGTGTTTTCTGCTTCTGTTTTTCTGAAGTGAAAAAAATTGCCTTTATGAATTCAATTCTTAACAAGTTTTACTTCTTTATATTTTCTATTATGTGCATGTCTTTTTGATTCATTTATGAAATATTATAATACTGCACGTTTGTAACATCGCTTTTCATTGGATAATCGTGACGTTTATATAGTTTTATATACACGGTTGTTGTCGATTCATAAAGAAATCTTTTCTCTCTAAAAAATGATGCTATTCGTTATAAAGATTGTTGACAGGTTATATGACCGTATATAAACGGCTGTTTACAATATAACCCTCGCCTAGTTGCTCGGGTTATATTTACAAATAGCTGTTTATATACGGCCATATAATCTGTCAACAATCTTTATAACTAATGATATAATAATTTGGATGGATTAACCCATTACCTGCTGAAACCAACCAATTCAGAGCCTAGCCAAACTTGAAATCTGTGTCTGACAAGGCTCTATACTGTGTTGGTAGCTCAATTTCTGCATATTGTTATTAAAATCTCTAAACTTCACATGGACTGATCCAAACTGAAACACAGCAAATCCATCACATAAATTCAGCAAGGAATCACCTTAGTATTTTTATGAATTTATAAAAATTCTGGAAATGTGTTCCATACATGGAGATGTTCAAAGAATATTTTTTATAAGCAACAACAAAAATGGCTTTATATTTGTTCCATTTTAAATAAAATTTCATTTACACATTTGTTTACAAGAACAGAACACAAAGCAATGAACATGCACTATATTATAGATAAAACCATGTACTTTTTTCATGATCAAGTGGAAGATTTTTCTTCAAAAAAAGAGGGAGATTTTAGAATTTGCAATAAACAAAGAAGTAAGGATGTCATCTGGAGCCGAAACGGCCATCCGGATATCCGAATCAAACATCCGGATACATCCGGATGTTCGGATCGTTGTTATATTCTTAGTTGGCTGATATGACGTAACCATTTTTTCGCGATCTTTTTCAAAGTGTAGTATTTCGTTTCATTTCCTTTTTAATTAAATGTTACGTATCAAAATAATTTTGGTATTGATTTTATTTTTTCTATATAGAATATGACTGTTATCGATAAATTAAATGCGTATGATACTTACGATTTCAAATGAAATGAAAATTAAATTTATCGCCGATTGTCTAAATTCCTGAATTAGTGCTATAATACACAATAACACTTGCTCACATTTGTGAAAACAAAATAACACCCGTAAAAAATTAAAAGTTTCTATGCATTGTTCAATAACATGCATACAATTTACACACGATGACCTTTGACAGGTGTGTAGCCGGCTTTTCAAAAGAATCTGCCAATCTTTGATGTTTACCAACATGTAGACCTGGCTGTTTGATTCGAATCATCAAAAAAGTTGCCGAAATTTACATTAATTACACATATTTTAAGTGTTCATAAGTGAAAAAAAACTGTGAAAAAATTGTTTTTAAAAAAAGGCACATGTTTGATTTATATTAAAGGAGAAAGATATTTTGACGGATAATTATCGTATCAATTTTAATAAAAGCTGTGATAATTGACATATAACTATTCGTAAGTGCATTTCTTTATTTGCTAATTTTATTTCTGCAGATTTTTTATTTTCTCAAAATAAGGAGTCGACGGCTCGGTAAGCCGAAATATATATAGAAATAATAGCCTAATTAATTATTTAAATTTGGACATAAACAATGTAAAATCGTTGCCGATGACAATCGCACGGGACTTAGAATATTCATCTTGAATCCTACAAAAATTAAATTTGTTTGGTGTTTAACATACTAGTACATGTAGATTAACAACATGTGTCATACACGACTCGTAATTTTTATAGTAATTATTGATTTTTTTTTTGTGGTCTGCAGAGATTACGATGTGTATTGTCAAATTAAAGTACAATATGCAATATGGTGTCAACACCATGTCTACGTTGATTATCTCAACGCATGTTCATGTATTTTTCACATTTTCTCAATATTCTGAAATATTTTATACAAACATCCGGATCCGAAAATCGGCTCCGGACACCGAATCGTGATCCGAACGTTCGGATATCCGGACTCCGAATGACATCCCTACAAAGAAGAAAGTTCTGACATTAAAAAGAGGGAGATTTCTTAATTTGTGGAAAAAAACCCTTATTTTAAGAAAAATCTTTGAAAATATGACTGCAGAAAGAGGGAGAGTTCACGTGTATTTTGTTTACCTGTTTTAGATTTAACAGGTAAAACCTCCTCATCAGAATCTTCATCTGGTGATTCAGCATCACCTACTCTATAACTGTAAAAACAAATTTATATTATATACTAGTTAATGAAATATTGAGAAATATTCATGAAATAAAATACATATTTCTGTATTTTCATTGTAAAAATTTATTTTTCACTGCAATGAAAAATATTTTTTTGTATTTTCTGTGGTGTATTGCTAGACTACTTGCTACTAAATTACGTCTGCATGAATCTGACCAGAATCTATACTGTTGGCAGCTCAATTTCTGTATTTTGATATTAAAATCCCTTAAAATTCAAATGGACTGTTCCAAATTCAAAGCTGAGTAAATCCAGAATGACTTAATGAAATTGCTACTAGTATATTTGTTCTTATGCATGTGTAACAATAGTTTTGTTGATATTTAAGACTTCTTACTTTCTCCATGGCAACAATTTCTTCTGTTTATAGCAGTCATTTATCCATTTTTTATCCACAATTTTCCCGCGACCTTTAACCTGATTATACTTTGGAGTATTTCCAAATGCACATCTGAAATGCATTTAATATATCTTATTTATTATTACTGTAAAGAACTATTCAATATTTTAGGGAAAATCAAATGTAAGCAGCCTGAGATCTCAGTCGGAAGTGACATGGAACAGTACTTTGAGTGTCCCAGGTCTGCGTCTCAGGCAGGCTGAACATTTTTTACACCCTGTGACATGCTCACCTAGTAAGAGAACAGTATTATGATTACTTTTTCACATTCAAATTCAACATATGAAGAAATTTATTGAACTTAACCTATGAAAGGAATCCTTTTAACAAGTCTAACATAACATTTTTATCTTTATTCAATTGCCTCTTTCAACATACACCTTTGGAATTAAAAAAAACAAAAAACATACAAGACTTTTTGTTACAGGTTCCATATTATATAAAAGAAGCACATGTGACCATACAATCAAGCTCGTATCTGTGAATTAAAAATCTCAAATAAGAACACTAGGATTCAAATGAACATCAGAGGTTCAAACTACATATGTGTGCATATTTAGACCTGATTCAATACAAAGGTAGGTTTTCTCTAAGACAATCCAGAAAACTCCATAATATGTCTTGCTGATATTTTGTAACAAGAATGGTTTCTAACAATAAATGTAGCATGAGAAACAAAACAGAAAGCTTACATAAGATGTGTACACCCCTTCCCCCAGTCTGGTCTATAAGTGGCACCCATGGACAAGGCTCGATCCCTCAACTCTGCTCTGTATGGGTTCTGGTACCCACTCATTACAAATGTTACTCTATCCATTAACTTGCTGAACTCTTTCACTGGGGACTCTTTTGGTGGCTCAGCTGCAAATAATTAACCTTGCTGTTTAAAATGTGGATTATATAAGACTTGACATAAAATATACTTAATACATGTATCAAGCAAGAAGAAAATTTTTAACTAACATTCACAGTTGTACCTATTTATTATCGGTAGTATTTATACCAAATTATCACTGACGTTTATTTATCTTAGAGTATGCTGTATTGTGTTATACTACAAATTAAATCAAATTCAAAATGTTGAAATCTTTTCATTCCATTTACAAACTAGTATATTTAAAATTGTAAGGCTGTTATGAAACTAGAGCTGTCATATGGAAAGTGCACTCTTACTTTTGTTGAACGGAAGCCATTGAGAAATTTAAACCCCATACAGGGGAAATATTCAGAAATTCTTGCTAGAGTTATACCTACAATTTGACTTCAGAAGACTTACATGAAATTGCCAGTGAATTGTTAAAGGGAAAGACAAGGTTAGAATAAAAACTTGATTTCAGAAAAAGAATACTAAAAATAATAAATCTGCAAATTTTCTGCCGCCAAATAATAATCTTAAACGAATGATAACAAAATTTAAATCGCTAAATCACCGATTTCTACAAATCAGAAAGCGCGGCCATGTTTGTGTATTGGCCGTATAAAAACAGGTGCGCGTGATGTCATTTCCCCACATCTTTAGATTTATGATAAATCTAGTTGAATCGGAGGGAAATATTAATATAATAAAGTATTGACCAGACGATTTAATTTTCACAGGAGGTGTACTGTAGAGGATATTTTTTTATGGTTCAAAATATGTAACAATATCCAAAAAATAAAAAACAATAAAAAACTAGAAATGTGTCCATAGGACACGGGTGCCCCCACCGCGCCACTGTTCTGTCAATCTTTTTACTAAGTCAAGGGAAATAACTCTACAAATACTGGATAAATCCACAAGCGAAACCCCAGGTGCAAATCTAAATATGCTGAGCAACCTACCCATAAGGTTTAAAGACTATGTCAAATCCTTTTTGAGTAACTTGCGACACAAGTTGAAAATTGCAAAAATTTTCTAAGTGAAGGGCAATAACTCTAAAAATACGAAATAAATCCAGACGAAAATACCTGGTGCATAACTGCACATGCTGATCAATATTCATGTAAAGTTACATGACTCTAGATAGGTCAAATACTTTTTGAGTTACGTGCCACACATGTTGAAAATTGCAAAATTTTACTAAGTCAAGGGCAATAACTCTGAAAATACTAAAAATATCCACACGAAAATACCCAGGTGCACAACTACACATGCTGATCAACATTCCTGTAAAGTTACATGACTCTAGGTCAAATACTTTTTGAGTTACATGCGACACAAGTTGAAAATTGCAAAATTTTACTAAGTCAAGGGCAATAACTCTAAAAATACTAAAAATATCCAGACGAAAATACCCAGGTGCACAACTACACATGCTGATCAACATTCCTGTAAAGTTTCATGACTCTAGGTCAAATACTTTTTGAGTTACATGCGACACAAGTTGAAAATTGCAAAATTTTACTAAGTCAAGGGCAATAACTCTGAAAATACTAAAAATATCCAGACAAAAATACCCAGGTGTACAACTACACATGCTGATCAACATTCCTGTAAAGTTTCATGACTCTAGGTCAAATACTTTTTGAGTTACGTGCGACACAAAAGTGAACGGACGGACGGACGGACGGACGGAGGACAGTAATTATGTGGCTACTCTATTGTTCTCTCTATTGTTCTTTTAGCCACGCAAAAGAAAATAGCCACATAAAAGCATTACGGAATGAATGACATCAAAGAGAACCTATTGTCCCTCTAGCCACATAATTACTCTCCTGTGAGTGCGGACAGACGGACAAGGGTAAATCTAAATGCCCGCCGCTAATGTGGGGGCACAATCAAGAAACAAAACAAATCAACGTCTACCGGTCGCACCACTTCAGGCCAGTGATGCCCGTTACTCCAAACAATGCTGTGTTCATTAAAGTCTCATCTTAATGTAATTAAACAATATTTAAGAGATTTAATAAATACACATTTTATTATTTAACAAAGTTTCACAATCAAATAATGCAATTAAATAAACAAACGCACCAACGAATAATTGGCTGTTAATTACTGAACGGCGATAATTACCATTATTATTAAAATCCTTCTAAAACGTGTTCTTAATAGTACATGTAATTAAATTTTTGCAGTTTGATTCTGACTTTCAAATTAAAAGGTGTGAACATATGTTATAATTGATGTAGACATTTCAAAAATATCAGCAATTCTTTTGAAAAGTAAATTATTAACATGTCTGTCAACGTATGAAGCTGCGCATCGTTATCGTAGCCTAATATTAACTGCAGGCAAAACATTTTTATTGGCTGATCAAAAATCTAATTTGCATAATTTATTCACACAATTGCTGGTTCTTACTACTTATGTCAAATACTGTGCATTGTCCATTTTAATTGTTCCTAATTTGCACCAAATGTTCCTGTCACACTGTGTACTGACGATTTTTATTGCTCCTTTTATGCCTCTGTGCCGACAGACCTTTTGATCATGCACAATGTTGCCCTGATTGGTTTATCACCCTAGTCAAATATTCTAATGAAGAAATAGACATCTATTTTTTTACGCTTCATCAGTGAACTGAATGACCTTAGGGGAAATTAAGTTCCACACCTATCAAATTATACTGTAAATTACAGCATGTCATAAAATAGCAACACATTTTTTTCAGTTACCAATAATCATTTTAAATATTAAGTAGATTAATGATGTTTTGTTCCATTGGATTAAATTTACGGTAGTAGAAATGCGTATCTGTGTGGGAAAGGAATTGGGTAAGTAGATAACGTGGAAAAAAGCTATGAGGAACTGGATAAACCCGAGAATATGCGTAATTACAGGGGAATGGGCAACCTGTTGCTGTTGGTACCAGTTTTGACTGGGTGCCTTAATACCCTAACGGACAGTTTTGTTTTCATAGGATATTAGTCTGGCTGCCGATTTTCCTGTGCCATTCTCATTTTTAGCGTCAATGGCTCAAAATCGCGTCCTCAGCAGATCGCTGCATATTGGATTTAGTTGATATTTTATGCTGAAAAAAAAGATACATGACCGGCGATGTACCCTATTCGGACAGCTTCTCTAGCGAAAATTAAGTACAAAATAAAAGGATATATCGTCAATTTGAAGAAGTTTCTCACAGTACCCAAATTAAATTGATGGTTTATCTTTGAAAATTTAGCAGTCATTGCTTAAATCATGTGGTGGGATCATCAGCAAGCTTGAAAATCGGACAAATGATAATTAATGTCGCGGCGTCTTCAATTAATTAATTAAAGCAATTCAGTTTCATATGATGTTTTAATAAATAATATATAATGTACGTAATAAGATTAATAAGTTCTTCATCAAGATATATTTCAGTTGTACCAGCGGGTACACCTATACCGGAAGTGGGTGTAACACGTCACAATCTCGGTCTCGTCTGTCTCGCGAGAATGACAGAGCGCCAAAATGGCAGCGCCCATGAACTTATTTCTCAAGTAAAAAATAGTGTCTTAAAACACGAATTTCTCACTTATAGGACTGATTTCAACAGAAAAACTGTCATGGTACCTCTTTTAAGATGATGAATATTTATATTAGACAGACATCAATCCATCCATTCCTATTCCTTTAATGAGAAATAAAACTGTAAGAAAAACTTGCACAACTGTTGCACTAAATCTATGCAAAAAAATTCTAAGTTACAAAAAGGACTGCTTAAAATTTAGTAAAAATTCATGCTAGAGCTACGGGTCTTAGGTATTGACCCTAAAACATGAATCCTAAAGACACATGTGTGAAGTTCAAAATATATCTAATAATAAGAAATAAAATTGCACAAAGTAAACCAATGTCATGAAAAGTCATGAAAAGTAATATAGCTATTCCTATTCCATGAAAATTCTAGCAAACAAATTACATTTGGTTTTCTTCAAAGGCGGCTGTTTGAGGGACTTTCCCGAGTCTTTAGATGCGACAGAACTAAGACTGGTAGATTGTTTACGTAGAGCAGGTATATCATCAGTCTCCTCATCCGTGTCATCATTATCACTAACATTGTGCTTTCTCTTCTCTCTATTCTGTGACTAGAAAACAAGAGCAGAATATCTGAATAGTAGCCTTTAATAAATATCTTGAGTTAAAAATAGCAACAGTATTATAACAAAATTAGGAGACTTGATTCAAATTCCTAACAGCAACTCTTTGTTCATTTTTTTCAAATATGGCAGAATTGATTTAAAGTCACATCAACACTGTCAAGGTAATATAGTGACTCTCCAGTTAACTGGTAAAGGAAAACTTCAGACGCTTCTCCAGCATTATTTCTGGCATGAGCAGGCATATAAGGAGAACCACCTACCACCAACCTTCTGTGAGCTAGCTGGAAAACTTCTGAGCCTAAAGTCACACCAACACTGTCAAGATAATATAGCAACTTTCCAGCTTACTGCTTGATGGGAGCAGACATCAGATGCTTCTTTGTGCACTATTTAAGACATGAACAAGTACCTAAGAAGAAGCAGTTAACCTTCTGTGAGCTAGCTTCTCAGCATGAAAGAATCCAAAGTCTCAAGCAGGATTTGATTTCACGGCAGTTGTGGCAACAATACAATTTTGGAAACCTTTATCACTTTACCACTTTCGCTGATATCTACACAACCCTCGCAAATTTCAAAACAAAGAAAGAAAAAGACCTACCTTTATAGATACTTTTTTTATCTATGATACATGATATGCTACTTACAGGGGTGGGAACTTTCTTTCCCTGATTTTTGGGCTCTTCTTTCGGGGATTCAAAAGTAGCTTTAGTTGTTAGTTTAGCAGGTGTAGATGATGATGATGATGGAGAGGTCGATGATTTAGACTGTTCCGCTAACCTTGATGCTGCCCTCACAGCTGCAGCACCTGTAAATATTTATCTTAATGTGTAACATTCTAATTCTAAACAAGTGAAACACCAGAAAAATTCTGAAATAAAAGTGAAAATTACAGACTCACTACAATGCATAGATCCCTTAACTGTTCATTAGTGGATACATTAAGAATTTCACCACAACCTATTTGTGCACATGTCAAAGTTTGTGGTTAAATCTATTGTTATTCAAATGAAAGTGCAGAGTAGGGATCTATCAATTGTATCTGTTAATGGGTAGCAATAGAACCTAAAACCTGAATAAAACCTCAGCAATTAGAAATATTCTGTGTCATAATATCGAATGGTTACAATGCAAACGCTACATTACAATATCGATAATATGAATATTGATATTTTTTGGCAATTATCATACATATGTACAGACAGTTGGTATGAACCAAATATTCAAATATTTAGTCTATTTTTTCAAACTATTATTATTGTTTTTTTCAGTGATTAATAGCAATTATCATTAAACTATCACACCAGTGAAAAGATATGTCCTGGCAGTGTGACTAGATTGTTTACAGTTCACTACTTAATATTTATCTCACTAAATATCTTATACAGACTAGACCATCTTTAAATCTGGACAAAACCATTCATCATTTTTATAGTGAAAGTTATAAAATAAGTACTGACTGAAAAAAGAATAGAGGAGACCTTGATCTGGCAGCGTGGATGTGCAATCTGATCTTGATTTGCAATGGGGGCATGGGTAGAATCTTTTACCGCCAGCAGGTTCAGGGTTTAAAAATTAACCACTTAATATCAAATCCCACAAATTAACAAATGAATAAGTTTCCAGTAAAACTTTAGAATGTTAAGGATTACATGTAAATAACGTACAGTGTAATAATAGTGTTTCTAACTAACAAATATATAATTCATCGGAAATTAAGGAACATGCTCAGTAAGCAAAAGTTTACTAGGAAAACAAAATACATTTGTATTTGACTAATACATTACAGCTGGAAAGACTGATAAGTGGGGTAGAAACTGGCTTATGTCCATGTAAAGGTGTTGATTTATCTTGCCGTACAATCCAACAACATTACAATCCATTGATCATTAAACAATGGTGAACAATTAAATATAAGCATGGAAATAACAAGTATACCTGACAATGGAGTAGATGGTGCACTGGTTTCTGGCTTCCGGTGTGAAAACAGACTTCCTGTTTTAACATCATCTTTATTGTCTGTCTTCAGCTTGAAAAACCCGACCTTCTTTTCACCTTCCTATTTCATAATGGGTTGAAAAAAAACAAAAACAAAAAACTGATGAAGAACATACTTGTACGAAATTGATTTGAATAAAAAATAACTGAATGTACGCATGTGGTTGTTCTTTTTGGATTCATAATGGGTTGAATAAATTTATAAATATTTACAACAAAGTAATTATGTCACAGAGAAATTGTGCCTTGCTCAAGGATGGAACCAGCCACCCCAGGATTACTGATCTAATGCTCTTCCTACTGAGCCAAGCAGGATGATGGTACAGTCAAACAGACAGTCTAAATCACATTTAACAAAAGTGATAGGCCAAAAGTGATGAACTTACAAGACCTGAATAATATGACTTGGAATAAAAGGTGAAATGAGAAAATAAGATGCAGTTCAAACAAACTATCCTGCAAATTTTCTTCAACTTAAACAAAATCTGTGTTACTGTAGGATGTAATAAATTTTTAAGTTTTTAAAGTTGTAGCAAACTCAGAGTGTATATAAATTGCTGGACACCTACCCCTGAACCTTTATCTCCAGGTAGCGATGGACTATGAAATTTGATAAATGATAAACCAAATGTACTTGTCTGAAATAAAACAATAACAACATAATGTAATCTGGTACATCACATATTAATAATATGGAGATAAATTGTTTAAAATTTGTGATGAAAACATAATAAAAGATGACAAACTATCATGCATCTACTATTGAAATGTTTTTATTTGCATCGTTTTGATGTAACACTCCTGTTTTACATCTGTTTCACAGTAAATACATATTTGACAGTACACATACTTCTTTCCTTTACTTGGTGTTCCCCTTTTTCTGCCTCGGAGCAATTAATTACCCCAGAAAGGCAGAAACTCATATCTTTTCCTTCATTTTCATCTTGATATCCCAAAAAGTGATAATAGACTGTTCCAAAAATGGAAGCTGGACAAGTCCATTAAGAAATTAGGCAGTTTAAGGGTTATTTCTAAGCAAAGCAAAAAGTAGATTGAACATAATTATGTGTACTTTTCTTAACCATAAACATTTTAAATTTTGGACAAAATAAATGAATGAACTGACTTATTTGCAACACTTAAAGTTTTATTTGATCAGAACAAGATATGTACCTTGTTAAATGGTTGTGTACAAACAATTTTCACCCTGTCCCATTTCTGACTCGAGACTGCTGCTGATAATTTACTTGCATCAAACATGCGTACACTGTTTCTATTTGTACCATTTCTGGCTTCTAGAGGCGTCATAAATGATGATGCAACCAACAATACCTGAGCAAGAAGAACAATTTTCTTAACGTTTATCTTGTTTTCAACAAGACATGAGTGTAATTTAGGCTTTTCCTGCTAAGAATACAATTTTTACCCCTCTAAAAATAATTTCATAAGCACTTACTTTCAACATCTGAAAAACAAATCTAATACATTGTACAAATGTATATTTTTTATAATAACTACCTAACTTGAGATTTTAAATAAGCTCAGTGTGCATTACAGCTGTCACTTCTCATCAGTGAGTTCTATTGGTTAAAGGCCCATTATACTCCAAAAATGTTTTTATTTTTCAAAAGTTTTTTGATTTGGGCCAAAGTTTAAAGTGACCAAAAAATTACTCATTGGCCAATTACCTAAACCATCATTTTCTTCTGTTCCTTCTTGGTAGTTAGTACAGTTATAGTTATTCAGTATTTTGTATGGAATTGTTATTTTTGTATATGTTTTGCTACTTTTATGACACATATTTTTACATTTAGCTTTACTTTCTTCAGGTAACAAGCATGAAAAATGACCTAAAATCATTATTTCAATGTTATAAAACTATTTGCTCTTCCTAAAGAAGTAAAATTTCATTTTAAATATACAGAAAATGACTTGTGTATCTTATTAGTTAAGATGGGTAATATCTCTCACTTTAAAAAATGATTTTAAAAACTGATTTTTTTTACAGTTCTATTTGTGCTTAACAAAGACTATGATGTTATTAACCCTTTCACTGCCATAGGGACGGCATAATATTATTAATTAATAATATAGTAATTTCTTATAAAACCTTCTAGCAAATAGGTGATCAATAAATATATAACCCTCTGGCAGCGAAAGGGTTAAAGAATTAAAAAATATTTTTATAATACCTGATAGTCATGATCATTAGCAGCAGACGACCTGCCCACCAGAATCTCTACAAATGCTGACCCTTCATTTCCTATATCTATACTCTGTATTTGTGATGCTTTCTCAAACTGTGAAGTTATACAAATATATATACATATTACATAATTGTATTATATATACATTATCAATATATAATAAATTTGATAAGGCCTATATTTTTTTAATTATACCAGGTGAAGTAAGAACTTTTCTCATATAAAATGGATGTTTTTCTTTCACCAATATTATTAAAATGCTGAAATATTCCCTTAAAAATCAAAAGCCTTTGTGCCTTTTCATGTTTAATAACAAGAGTGATCAGTGATCACATGTGTCGCCTGATGATGGTGCAATCATTGATAATGTATAACGAATGTAAATACTTGACATCTAAAGGAAAGTAAAGTCTACTATGATTGAAAATATGACTGACAATCATAATCAATTTTAAAAATGCCTAGTGATGTACAATGAAAACCAAATCTGAATAAATGTCAACAGATAGACATTTTGTTCTTTTGGTTTCTACAACCATAATAATAAGTATATAAATAATGTATTTTTGTTTACTTTTATATCTATCAATATATATGATTAAGGCGGACTTTTACTCCACTTCAACTCCTAGCATTAAATTATTATTTGTTTACATGTTTAGTTTCTTAGCATAGATTAGACAGAAATACTAGATCCATTCTTGTATTCTTACTATTGTGTTTGAGGTTCTTAACCAAAGTTTGACAGAAAGGGCTGAGAAGGTGTGATTGCTGGAAAGACAATATATACTACTAGACTTGGTACTGATCATTCCTATAAAGTATGGATGAAATTGTACCAGTAGTTTCTGAGGAGTAGCTTGGACAACTTTTGTATGGATAGAAGTACTAACATTTGGATACTAAGATGGCTACTATTGTTCTTTTAGCCACAGAACAGTTAACTACATGTTTTAGAGCTGTCATTGATTCAGTGCAAAGAATATCAACGATATATCTATATCAGATGACTAAAATCAACGATATATCGATAATAACCTATAATTACTTCTCTGTCATTCACTTTCATACCTGTTTAATTGATTTCAGTTTAAAACATTTCTGTACAGTGTATTGTCCACTGCATAATTTTTTTCCAGACAATATTTTTGTCACCATTGCTATGAAATATTTCCACTATTTAACAAAAGCATAACATTAGACAGAAATAATTGCTTTTGTATATGTTTTGGGTAAATTTTTATAATTTCTAAACATTTAATTAATAAGTCAAAATATCGATTTTTTTAAATGTGTATCGATTGTTGATCGTCAAAAAAATACCAACAATGACAGCTCTAACATGTATCGTTCTTAACTTCACCTAAGTATCCAAATGTAAGTATGGACAGACGACGGCGGGGAAATATATAATACCTGAATAACTACAGATACGCTCTTTTCACCAGGTGCTGCACATTTCCATTTATATGTCCCTTCAGGCTTCAGTAGATTATCTGCTGGATGGTTCTAGTTTGTAACCAAAAAAGACAATAATTATAATGCTTGAAATGAATTCTTCAAAACTCTGGTATGAATGTACATGACAAGGTAAACCCTGTTTTCAAAAGTTTATACAAAAATAATATCAGTAATTATGTCTAATAATATTTATGGGATGGGATAAGCACAGATGCAAAGTGCATAAAAAGCAATGAAAAACAGTTCATAATTCTAATATACATGTATGAAAAGTGTAGTTACTATTAATGTATGTTTACTCATGGTGGTTCTACCCTGTATTATCCGATATGTAAGTTTCAATTGCACATAACATGTTGACCTAGCAAAATTAAGGTAATTCTTCATGACTCAAGTTTGATATTTTATTTATCATAAAAGAAGAGATGGCTCAATATTTTTAACAGTTTTTGAAAGATACATCTATTGTGCTATGTTTGCAAAAATAGCAGAGCCCTTTTACGTTTATAGCAGGGGCTGTTACAGGGCTGCTTCCCCCAAAGAAAAATTCTTTAAAATCATTCAGTTTTCCCCAAAAATTAAATTTACGTCAAGTTTTTTCTTCCTTTTTTGCAAAATAAACCATGTAATTTCCCCCCAAAATTAAGGGCAGGGCTGCTTCCCAAACCTGTGAGAAAAAAACCTGTATAGGTATAAAAATATGTCTTATTTAAAAAAAATGCGAGAGCTATAATTGTTGACCATGCCAAGAAATACGCTATAGTGAGTTATATACCTTGCATATATTATATATATATGGATAGTTATTTTGTTCATGATGATCAAGTGGAGATTATTTTATGATTATTTGACCATTATTGGCAAGACAAATGTGCCTAACACCTTTGGCATTGTGGGTACCATATACTGAATCTGGCCATGCACCATTCACATGATGATTGAGCAATTTCCTTGAACAGACCGGTATGTTTATCACTGTCAATTTTATATACTAAAAATATAGAATGAGCCTATATATATACTTTCAGTGTAGACCCAGGGGAAAAAATACTGAAATTGCAATTTCCGTGTGACACTATGAGCCAATATTATTATATGAATAAGAAAGTAAATAAATCACGCAAAGCTTTCTGTATGTAGATTATTTAAAATAGTTTTCAATGTTAACAAATATTAAACTTTGACATCTAAGCTGGTAAAAACTAAAATTTTCAAAGGCAATGTCGCGAAAATTTGTTGCACAAGAAATTATGCTGAATAATCTTTTATCATATACCTTTTCCTCACTACTAAATGAAACAATATGTTGGAGCTTTATTTCAGGCATTTTCAGTGTTTGCTTTCACATCTGCATTATAAACTTCTTGTGATGTTTGGGTAAATATTTTTGAGTTTGTAACTTTTGTTTACAAACTTGCCGGGATGCAGTCGTCAAATTCCGTGATAGTCGGAAATTACCGAACACTTAGGTTTCAAAACACTAATAAATTAAACTTAAAGATTGAACACCACTAAAGAACTTATCTTTCTGCCGATTTTAATATTTGCAAATTAATATTCGAAAGGCCATAGAGTCAAATACTTTTATTTCATATAAAGCTCCAGAGCGATGATTGGTTATGATATAGGGAACAGGAAATTTAATCTGACGTAGATTTATTTATAACACATATAAATTATATGAAACATAAATTATCCCGCCGAAGGGATAGAAGTACATGCAGGCCGGTTTCACAAGAGAGTCATTCCGACAGGTCATTGCCAAGGTCTTTTTTTTCATCTCAAATAGCCTGTCGCAAAGGTCTATTTCTCGGCAGTCAAGGGATAGTCGTAGGTCAATGTCCCATAGGTCTTCTGAAAGCGATTCTAGGTGGTCGAGGACACATCATAGAAACATTCATAGGTAATGGTCACATTCATCAAGATAGAGTAGCCCTGAAAGGTATGGGTTGTAAAGTACTATATATATAGAGAGAGATGAACAGACAAAATCTTTAGCTCGGCATTCAACTGAAAGGCGTGATATGAGATAAAAGAGAGGTGTTTCCGATAACAAAAGCTAGTATGTGAAATTTTAAGATATTATTTTAACACTAGATGTGCTTGTTTAACATAAATGTGCTTTGTTAGATTTTTGTACATTTGAATGTATTGCACAATTGCATGGTACGTGTTTTAATATTCTTTTTGGTAAGATGGTAAGAAATTTATGTAATTTTGGTAATAAAACGGATTGGTTGAGAACTCAGTAATTTACAACATCATAAACACAATGCCATTATCCAGTTGAATTTGTGTATTTCACATATTTCGTAGTGTAAGATGCTACCTTTTGGTATAACGCAATTGACTGATTGATTTGGACAGAATATTATAGTTTGATTATTTTTATTGACTAAAATGAGGTGCTGTTTTTTTATTTTATAAATAGTTAATTTGTTCTTAATGGATAAATCAAGCATTTTTTACATTTTGTTATATTGCTTGTTAAGATAATTCTCTTTGTTGTTTTTTAATTTACAATTGTTTGCACAAATGTAAGTCATGGTTTGATTATGTATGTACTTGGAATTGTTTGTTACTGATTGGCATAACATTGGATCTGGTTGGAATTACGTTAGAAATTAATTAGATAGAAACTGATTGAATTCACGTCAAAAAATGGTTGGGAATTGGTTGCGAAGTAGTTGTGTTTGGAAAGTAATAATTATGCATACGTAAAAAAGTTGGATTGAGTCGGCTTCTGAAGTCGAAAAACTATCGTATACAACTAAAATCTAACGTCTATCCAATACTGGATATCAGTATTGCAATTTCATCTTCATATAAAATAAACTTGCAATCAGAATCATACCAGTTAGCATGACATTAACGTTGCTGCGATATAGAAGAGCCCTGAGGGAGCTCACATGTAATAAGTATTGAGTCTTAAACAGCTTACATATTACATATCGACCAGCCTTCGGCACCCAATCAAATTACCACTCAATACGATAAAGTACTTAGTTCATCAAGTGGTTGACGGTCAGTGTTTACAAATAACAAAAATCTTTTTATAGAATTTTGATAGCAATTTGTCCTCGAGTAAGGTATCAGGTAGTTCAGATTTTTTGTTTGAGTAAGGTGTTGGTGATCAACAAAGACAATGTTGTTTTGGATTTTATACAAGTAGGTTACAGCACTGATGTTTCGACGCTGCTTAAGTGTTTGCAAATTAAGTTAATTTATCATTTTTGAGACACTACGTACTTGTAAAGTCATTATCATTAAAAATTCATCTAGCAGTTGATCTTTGCACTTGCTCTATTTTATAAATTAAGCGTTCTGCCAAGGATGCAAAACTATGGAGCAATATTCAACCTGAGGTCTAACATAGGTCTTATATGCAGTTTCTTTTATCTTTTTATTTGGGATCTTAAACATTTCTTCTAATGAATCTAAGGGAGTTATTTGCTTTGGATGTAATATTGTTCATAATTATGTTTGGTCCATGAAAAGTCTTGATTATTAGTGACTCCTAAGTATTTTGCTCCTTGAGTTTAGTTAAGTTAAATGTTATGGAATATATAAGGAAATATTACAGAGTTTCTTTTTCTTGTTATTCTGAGAACTTCACATTAAATTTTGTCAGGGTTTAACTCCATGGACCAGTCTTTTTCCCATATTTCTAAAGAACGTAGGTCATCTTGAAAGGTTTGGGCATCTTGTTTAGATCTGATGCTTAGGTAGACAACAGTTTCATCTGCAAAAAGTCTAACTTTACCTTTGACACTATCCGGAAGGCCATTTATATAGGAAAGGAAAAGGCAAGGACCTAATACCGAGCCTTGGGGGACACCTGAGAGGACTGGTCGAATTCGTGATTTTGACCTTCAGGGAAAGGAAAGAATGGACAAAATTTTTAACATCGTGCCTTATGCCCAATTTTTCCAATTTACTTACAAGTGTGTGATGGGCCACCTTACTGAAATCCATGACTATGACATCAGTTTGCTGGCCACTTTCAAGATTGTCATGAATTTCCTGGGAGAAGCTTACTTGCTGGGACTCACAACTCCGTTTTGACCTGAAGCCATGTTGATAGGGGCTAATGATATTGTGCTTATCATAAAAGCACATAATATTGGACACTAAGATGTGCTCCATCAATTTTGACGCTATGCGTGATGGAGATTGGTCTATAATTGACGAGTTAGCATTTAGGCCTTTTTTGTAAACTGAGCCAATTTTTGCATGCTTCCAGTCTTCCGGGACGATACCGGATTTTAGTGAGATCTGGACGATATGCATGAAAGCCTATTTACTTAGTACCACGACTTTCATAAACAGACTGAATCAAAACGAGTCTGCAACATTTTCAATTTTGCTGTGTTGGGGATTCTTATTTTCTCTATTTGATTACTCAGGCATCCCTGAAAGCTAAAGAAGTAATCTTTTATTTGATACTAAATTGAGAAATAAAAGAAGTTGGTAGGGGCGCTTAGTCCAGTATATTAGGCGTTACGGGCTTGTTATAGTTTCAACTTCAACGGGGTTACTCGACAATATCCACCAGGTAGACATCGACGTCGAGGAGGTGAAGACTGTACATCGGTGTAGAGTGGCGTGTTAATTCCGACATAAATTTTTAAAACTATATTACACAATTGTATCACAACTGTCCCATGACAAACCCTAAAAGGTCTGGTGACCAACATGTATTTACACTTTACAAGGTGGTGTCCATTTATACATACGATGGTACGACTGGAACGGGCTGGATGGAAGATTTAAACGCCTCCAGGCTCTCAGTAGAAACACAAGAATCTGGTATTATATTCCAGGTACTAACAGTCCTTGGAAGAATGAGTGTTGATAAACGTTGATTCTAGATTGAATTGGGATAAATTTCATTCTGTGACTTCTCCGGGTTGAACGAACGGTGGCAATTTAGTGGGATGGTAAAACAATGGCACAGCTATTAAAAAGTTTACTACTTTATACATGAGAGTCACATCTGCCCATACTCTACGTTTTTGAAGACTGGGCCAGTTTTATGTCGGTCAAGCCCGGCGTTGCTTTTCCCAGAAGCAAAAATGTCTCAAAGCGACGGCATAATTATAGAACTAGGGGGTACCAAATTTCAGAGTGTAGTTTTCCGAAGAAAAATGTAAACTTTCAAAGAATGATTTTTATTTTACTACTTTAATTGGTGCATGGAATGGAGAGAGTTGTTTATGTACTTTCTGTCAATAAACCTGCATTATAGTTTAGCTCCATCTTCAGTTTTGTTTCTTGTCTGCTTTCTTTTGTTTTGCTGCTTACTTACATGTATCTGTTTATTTCACATTTGGATTAAATTTTGTTAATATTCTCAGCATAAATGTTTATGTACATGTATTATTTTTCCAGTGTGCTTGAATTTTGTTTGCTTATTGTAAGCTTATGCGAAGTTTGCTTATTGAGGAGGCTGCTGATCACTTCTTGCAAATTTTGAATTGGGGATGTTCTATTTATAAAACCTAATTAGAGTTACATTTTTGTGATCCTTTTCATTTTCAATATCTTATTTCATTTCTTTTATAACAGTCCAGGCTAAGCCTGGTTCAAAATCAGCAGAATCCACCCACTTTTAATGTAATCTTATTTTATGTATGTGCTAATATGTTCCGCATTTTTATCTAGATATATATTATTTTATTCACTTATGATACAGTAATTAAATGTTATCCTTAGCATATCATTACTATTTATTAATTATTATTATTTTACTTTAAATTATTATATTTAGTGTCTACATCTCTCATTATAGAAATTTAACTTGTCTTTTACCATTTGTCTTTCAAAGTTTATCTTAATGTGCTTCTTTTATGAGTTTTATGTTTATATGCATGTATGTCGGTCAAAAGCTATACATAGCTTATGTTTTGTAAAATGTTATAGATTCTATTATGTATACCGACAATAAATAAATTTTGATTTGATTTGATTTGATTTGACTACTTAATTTGTTTTTAATTTAAAGCCATCTCTAGAATGTTTATAAAGTAATTTTTCATTTGGCATCCAAAAAAAAAAAAATATTAAAGATCCATAAGCGTTCACCCATACCATTTTATCATAAAAACGCTATCAGCCCTAAAAATCCTCAGTCAAAGTGTATACGCTATAATTAGAACATAGACAAACGTCTGTAAGAAGAAAATGCCAAAAAGTAACAAAAAAAGGGCTCAAAGTTTTGCACAAAATCATCGCCGAACATTTTTACGAATAATCCCGAGTTATGATCGGATTCTGTCGGCTCGTTCTCATTTGCATAATTTATGCAAGTTATCCCAAAATGCTGCGCGACTTAAATCAACAACAACATTGATGTCAACTGACAAAAATCACATGTTAACTACGCTATGTCTTCGTCTTCTTCGGTAAGTAAATAATTGTTTGATTCTATGTGGTCATTATTGTTTCAATTGTATTATATATTTTGATATTGTCTATATTTATATATCTTGATATTATACCCAAAGAGACGGCGGTTTCGAGGAATGATGTCAAGTTCGGATGCGAAAGTTTTGGACAGAATGTTACGATCGATGATCGTTTGATCGTTTGACTTTTCATTCTCTGGCTAAATAAGTTGTTTCATACAAAAATGTTACATTAAAATGTTGTTTTTTTTTTATCAAAATATTTTTTTATCTGTTGATGCTTATCACAGACTACCAATATAAATTTTACCTTTTTTCAACAGTGGCTTGCTACCTTTTCAACGTATTGATATTTAATGTAGCCGTTTATTTGTAATGCGATGGTGGTATAATTTATTGAACCTATCAATCTTCCTATATCTTCCGATCAAAAGCTGTAGTTTTACCGCATGAGTGCAATTTATCATCAATTTAAAAAAAAACAAAAAAAAAAAAAACAACACGAACCTGATTTATTGGTACCTGTCATTAACATACATTATAACATTTGACAGTAGTTGAAATTTTTCATATCATTTCATGTAAACATTATACTTAATAAACTATTCCATAAATGCACAAGTGAAGAACATGACTATGTATAGAAGCTGGGTTGATTCGTACACAACACATATATGCATGTATTGACACATTTGCCATGCCAAGAATGGTCATAATAATCACGGTAAATCACCCCTTGACCATCTAGAACAAAATTACTTTCCAGCACCTGTTGACTACCTGTGGTGCAGTAGTAAGTCACTGAAGTGTAATATTAGTGGTTGCTAGCTTGATTGCCTGCTCCTCAACTAACAGTACTTTGTGGTCTTTTAAGGCAAAACCTTAAAAGCTAGGTGTAATTTATTAAATTGATGCTCTGCACCAGGCATTGAATCCACTAGGCTGGTTGGACTACCAGATTGGAATATTCACTAGCCCAAAAGACATTTCACTAGCACAATTCATTTGTTCAAAACAGTTGTTTATATTGCCTCTGAAAATATGTATAGCCTGGTTGGGCTTGTTACTGTGCAAAAGTGGTAGCCCGGTGAGAAATTTAGTAGTCAGGGGCTAATGGACTAATGCTAATTGCGAACACTGGAGTTTAGTTAGTTTAATGGTCAAGCTTACCCCTAATAGTATTCTTGAACAATATTTTTTTGCAATTGATTCATTTTTCTTGGTGCCTTGCAGGGGAAGTGCTATCATAGATCTAATTCTTTACATTTGTTTTTCAGAGCAACACAGATGTTTCTATTACTTCAGGAATGTCACACTCACCAGAGTTGCCCTCCGAGAGGTAGGGGGAGAGGAAATAGGGGTGCACGAGGAGTTGGAGGACGAAGCCAAGGAGGAGCACGAGGTCGTGGCAGAGGTCGGGGAAGAGGAAGGGGAAGAGGAACCACTGTACAGGTTGAGTCTGATGTCCCAGTAGGTGCAAGCAGACAAGATCAGCAGCAGATTTTGATGGTAAATTGCTCTTCTGCTGAGTTTTTTTTTATCATATTCACCAGTGTTTTGAAATATTTTAGGTCTGTTGTGACATTGGCCATAATCAAAAGTATCAAAAGTTTTTAGAAGTGTATGTCAGCCTCTTGCTTTGTTATATGTACTTTTACTGCATGTGTAAATGACAACTATAATCAGTTAACTTGTGGAGAATTATCGATTATCCATAAAAAGTTCATCTTAGTATATCACAGCTGTACATGTAGTAAAATTATAGATTTACCACAATAATCAATGTTTGTTTTTACTTTCATATGATTTTTTCACAGGATGAGATTCGTGCGATGACGAGGGAAGAATTGGAGGATCTTCTTCTGAATACTGTGCAAATAAATCCAGGCCTCATGTTTTTTGTTATGAGGCCAGGTGTGGTACCAGAAGGGGGCTTTCACCCACCAGGAGGACAGCCGACACCGCCTTGGTGCAGCTGTCAAAAATGTCGTGACATGCCAACTGCAGTCGAGCGTGTATGCTGTGGCAAAAGAATTTGTGTCACTCAAACTCCAGTAAGTTATATACATTTGATTTCATTTAAAAAAAGTTGTTGATAATAATAATACACACATATGTAACTTCTGCTAGTTATTATAAAATCAAATACTTTTTTAATAGTCAGTTACAAAATTTATTTTTTTTTTAAAAGCATTTTGTTTGTGAATAAGATGCTATGTTCTTGGCTTTATCGTACAATAATTTCAAACTTATATATTTTTTTACTTGTAACCCTTTATGCATTCTGCTAATGCTATTGTGTTTATTTCAGCAATTTGATACATTGGTGCTAGACGAGCGTGTTCTGTCGCTTGCTCGCATGATGCGAAGGGACATACTTGTGTTCCCCGATGAACAGCTTGGTGAAGGGGAAGACGATTATAATGCTGCCAACCGCTACTACGCCTACACCAACTACACATTGTGGAAGCATGGACGTTTGGGTGCTGGTGTTAGAATTCCTCTGCCAGCCTGTGCTGTTTGGAGAATCCGTGATAAGTTTCCCCATCCATATGGGCAGTACACGGGCTTTAAACCCTCAAGAGTTTAGAAATTAGAATAATGTTTTATGTATACTAGTAACCTTGCTCTCATGATTAACATTTTGGTAATATATGCTTAATGACTATAATATTATATACATGTAGTTTGAGTAATTGTCTTTACTTTCTGCTCTTGCAAGAAATGATAAAAAAAGTTAATTTATAAGCTTGCAATATATATACAGTCAGCTAGAATAAAATATGCCAGTATTAGCAATAAATCACATATTTAGAACCACAATGACTATTCATAATATGAGATGTGTCATGACAAAACCAACGTAATACGTATGCGACCAGCATGGATCCAGACCAGCCTGCGCATCACGCAGTCTGATCAGGATCCATGCTGTTTGCTTTCAAACCCTGTAACAAGTAGAGAAACTGATAGCGAACAGCATGGATCCTGATCAGGTTGCGCCGATGCGCAGGCTGGTCTGGATCCATGCTGGTCGCAAAGCCACTGTGTTGGTTTTGTCGTGACGCGGCTCATTATTATGTTGATTCCTTTTCTACTCTGTGATATTGATTTTGATATAAGAGAAACCAAAAGATCATTAGAGAACCATTTAATGGGTCCAGCTTACTTATAATGAAACATACACAGGATAGAGTGTTAAATTAAAAGTCATGATATACATTCAAATGCTTTCATCTTCTGATTATACTGATGTAAGTTTTAATTATAAATCAAGATATACCTTTGTTAAATAATCTCTATTCAAGAGACTTATTACATACGATATGCTCACATGTCATCATAGACATATGGTGTCATATGTGACATCAGTTATCCTTATGTCAGTCAAAAGGGTTTCCTGTTCAAATTATATATAATTATATAGTATATTATATACTGTTACATTTTTGTTATTTATAAAAAGTATGCTATGATGTAAACAATTTATATTGCATTGCAGTAAAACAAATCATTGTTGATATTTCAAATTGTACTGTAATTAATCATCCAGGATGACAGTTCTTTTTTTCTGTATTTCTGCTTACTTAAATCTAAACCAAGCATTATTTTAAAAGTAGGTTTTAAATTGGTATCTTTATCTGAACTTTAGGCATTGTAATGACTTAAAGGCACATTATGCCTCAGAAATTCTTATTTTGTACTTTAGAAATACATGTATATAACATGGGTAAAAGGGATTAAGAAATGTTAGATGTTTAACATCCGAAGAAAGTAGCACTAAATCGGCAGTAATGGGTTGTAAAGGAAGTAAAATGTAAACAAAGTAATATTTTGACTTCCATACAAAATACTATTTCACTATGTTTATACCAGTTGTGAACATAGCATAAGAAGCAAAAGGTATGTTCAATGAATTTATGGCTAATAAGTAATTTTTGGGTAAACTGTTAAAAAGTACCAGAAAAAAAAAGTTTCTTTGAGGCATGATGGGCCTTTAAAGGGTAATAAACAAGCAAATTAATATTAAATCCCATGAGAGGCAGGGTGAAAGGAAATCATATCAAGTTCCAATGTGAAAAAAGGCTTAATAGGCATTTATCATCACTTGGCAATACTGAGATTTTTTAAATATTTAGCTTGACTAGCAGAGCCATCTTTTTAAGTCACCCGAGCTTTGGTTTCGGCATAAACCACTTATGTTAAGTTTGTGTACCACCTCAAATATTTTCAAAAGTCCATTTGAGTATGGCTTTGCATTGTTAACAATGAATTTATGTAACAGTTTGGCAAAAGCACCTCAGATATTTTCATATTCCATCGACAATCCTTTATGCTTTAAAAACCAAGTTGAAATTTTATACACTTCATAGGACTCTCTCCAAGGTCTGTAACTGTAACATGGATTTGAAAAAATGGCCCTTTTGTGAATGTAGAAAATTTACATTATCAAGGTTATTTTACTGATAAGCACTAAGAATAGTAAATTGTTGCTGTCCTACCGACAGCTCTTGTTTATGAACTGGAATTGGCCGTTTACATATAAATATACTACGTGCAAAATAACATGTAAATATTTTGTGCTTCATTATTTGAAGCATGGCTTGAGGAAATTTTCACATGCTATGCCTATGTACAACATCATATCTGAGAAACTAAAAGATATTTACTTTTTAATTTCATAGATGTATTTTTAAATCATAACTTAAGGTCACTTTTAAGGCCCATATATTGAAATTGGATTTGGGCACTTTGTGAACTAAAACATACTTGGTTAAATTCGCACAACTTGCTACATCAAACTTTTAAACTTGTTCAGTAACTGCTTTTGACCATAATTTGAAAATCACTGATTTATTCAACATGAGACTATAAATTGGATGTGAACACATAAAAGCTGTCTTTATTTCAATTTGAGTAGCTCTATTCTTTATTTTCATTTTTTTTCTTCTTGGGCATTATATTATATTTCAAATGAGAGTACCTTATTTTTTTTCCTTCTAGTTGCTTTACGTTGATATCTGCATATACATTATTATTACACAACTTTTAGATTCAATACTTCTGTAGTTCAATTCAATTTCTAGCAAAATAATATTACAATTTTTTTT